AAGACCGCACCGATTGTCACTGGGTAATCGCTGACACGGGCAGTCTTGTCTGCTAAGAAATGAGAAACTGAGGCTACGGTTCGTAAAGAATCAGCCGAACTGGACAATATAAGGTAATATTTCCTGATCCCATGAGTCTCAATTTGTGCTGCGACTTTCGGATAGTACTATTAGAATTTTCTGTAAACAGCATGAAAGTATGGAGGCCTCCCGCCTTGTACTAAAGAGACAGGCTTTTGGTGGTGTAACGCAATCAATCTCCATCGCTTTTTTTTGCTTTTCTTGACATACTTTGAGCCCCTAAGTACCAACACCATAGCCTACCTGCGTGTTGATGTCCATCCCTTATGACCACAGTGTACCATCTTCTCAGTGAAAGTCACCAGATCCAACAGAAGCACATTTGAAACGTCTCCAGTGATGTTTCTATTAGCCAGAAAATCTTGAGCAAACTTTCCCTTTCCATCATTAAAGTTTAAACTACGCATCTATGTCTAAAATGCACAAAAGTCTGCATGCATAATGCACAGTTTGTCTATGAAAAGCTCGTAAAAATATTATTTTGTTATGTTCAAGCCCAAAACAGTTTGCACAGCATTGACGAGTCTGACTTTCCTCATCTGTGATGTGAGTTTGGACGCTCCTGCTGTGTTAATTAAAGCTCAATGACACGAACGAGAACAAAGATTTAACACGGCTGAAAACCTCTGCGGGGTCAAATCTGCTGGGGAGAGCAGTTTTATTATAACTAATCTCTAAGGATCTTATCTGATGCTGTAGCCCCGCTAATGTTTTGACACAAAACAGTTGACATTTAACTCGCTCAGCCCTGGTGAAAACCAAGAATCTCACATTTGACCTTTAAAAGTAGCAAAAATGTTTCTAAATGGACCTTAAGTTTAATTTGATTCTGAGGTCTATGCTGATCCCTTAAATAACATTTCAATAATATATACTGTAATACACATGATTGCCCTCTGTCTGTCATCATATTTAGTGTCTATCCTCAGCGTTAGTTAGCCTATTTTTGGGTTACTTCCACTCAACCTGGTCAGCAAACATGGGTGGCTGTGTCAGCTGGGGGACATGAGCCACTGCTGGTCCCAAGTCTGCATAAATGGGGATGGCAGTATCATGATGGGCATCAGATATGCAGATATAGCCGCTGTGACGACCTCTCTAAAGAACGAGGCATTAAAAAAGAAGACCATTTCCAGAGTGATGACTATTTTTTCATACTTCTTGTTTTAGTTTCATATGCTGCTTTTGCTTACATGTATCCTTAAATCATCTAAGTGATAACAAAGAACCGATTATAAGTAAAACTGTAGTAATAATCAGGACTGTTGCAAGTGTACGTTATTGCAAAGTGTCCATGTGCATGTGTCGATTTTTAAAATGTTTCAAACGTCAGAATGGGAGGAGCTTTATAGAAGGAATAGAAAGGGTCTCATGTATTGCTCAGACCTCCACCCTGGGGCAATGAGCCTTTTACTGTGTGTGCTGCAGTGACCAATCACCAGACTCAGTTTGTTTCAGGTTGTGCAGCCTCAGCTGCCTTCATTAAACAAACTGCCACATGAAATGAAATAGTTTATTGAACCAGTTGACAAATTAAAACAAAACTGTATGTATCAAATATGAAATATGGAAAATATGGAAAACTGTGCAAAGTACTCCTCAGGCACTTTGAATTCAGCAAGTTTATTGCAAGCCACACTGTGCAGCATGAATCAAATAAACTTGGATACAACAGCAAGTTTGATGTATATTTTCAACCATCTTCATTTTTTTGACACTCAGTCTTTAGATGGACAACTTCAAACCTCTTCTAAGTCAACTTGAGCTTGTGGGTTTGAATGCTAAACCAAAGATATGACAGATTCTTTCACACTGGTCATTTTTCATCAGGGGCAGCTTGAAATCACAAAGTCTATAATGTCATGTTGTGATCCCTCACTGACTTGGCCACCACCGAACACATCATTTGTGTCAAAATTGTCTGAAATAAAGTGCCAACCAACTCTGACATTTGCGAGTATTTGGAAACTTTTGCATGTCAAATTGAAGCAAAAATGGAGTTTTAGCAAAGTTTTCCTTCAAAACATGTCTGTAACTGAAGGAGGTTAATGGAATATATTTACCCACTTATACATAAGTCACTTTTAAAAACTCACTGCATGAAATCCAAAAGGCTCAGTCACCCTTTACTTTGTACTGACTGGGAAATTTAAAAAAAAAAAAGACCATAAAGCAGAGAAAGACGACATCCCTCCAGATGTGTACTGCTGTGCTTTTGCCGCCTGGTCACTTAAAAACTGGTCCTCTGATGTGTTTTTATGAAAGCGCTCAGAGAAAGGATGGATCACTTAGCGGGTAGATGGAGTTTTCTTCATGCACCAATGAGTTCAAATCTGTGTTTGAGCCATTTTACCCAAAGACATTTGTTCTCTCACTCTTTCATCTCTCCTTTTTTGCCCTCTTTTGCTCTCTCTGTCTGTTATTTCCCGTCTTTTACGACTTTTCTTCTCACCGTCACCCCCTCCACCCCCTGGCTGTTCCTCTTTTTAGTACTCTAAAGGAAGGATGGTGTCTGAATTTAGCATTTTCGTCTTGCAGATTATTTACAGAGAGGTCTTGACAAGAATAAGCTTTGGTTCCTACATTTGGAAGCTAGGCCAAATTCACAAAGGAAGGAAATGTAACCATTTCAGAATCAAGGACCCATACACGGGAGACCAGGGCATGCGTTCAGCAGAGGTGGCAACAGTACAAACATTCATCACTAAAGTAAAAGAACAGCGTTAAAAAAAACAAGAACTGATACTGATTCATCAAAAAGCAGCTCTTCCGCCAAGTATTTTGGACTGCTGAACCTTTACCTTCTATGTTAATAATAATAATTCTTTAATAAATTCCTAGTCGCTTAATAAAATATTAAGGGGCAAGAAACTTCCTTCACATTAATTTCTGATTAGACTGAATGTTTTCAGCTTGAATGTGTGTTACATTGAACACCAGGAGAGAAAAATAGAGCAAAAAAGAAGAAAACGAGCTCTGGTTTCTGTTCACATTGAAGGTGGTTGATTTTACCTCCTCTTCTAGGTAGCTAGATTGTGCCACACCCACAACTTATTCTGCACCTCCAATGCTGTTCCGGATGATTCTGACCCACTTGAATCCCTGCGTATGGTACAATTACTGATGCATAAATTATATGATTTTTCATTTGAATATGTTTCTTTGATCTCTGTCTTTTACGACAGTCGTATGATAAGGACCAAAGTAATGACAGTAAAATACTGTATAAAATAATCAAGTAGAGTACAGATACCTGAAAACCTTCCCATCTCTGGAGTTTTAAACCTTTATAATATAGAAGTTAATAACACATAAGAAAAAGTGAGTCTTTTAACAGGAAACAGACAATTGCACAAAGAGAAAGTCATAATATGACATGAAGGCAAGAAGGATAAATAAATATTGTATGATATGCTGCAATAACATAACAATAAAACAGATAAGGAAAAGACAGGGGAAGTAAAACAGGAAACGCATGTGACGATAAGACAATTAAAGACAGAAAATAAATGTAGAATAGACTCAAAGATGACTGCATAGCAAGAAATAAAGAATCAAAGGAAAGGATTAAATGCAATACAGAAAAAAATAAAACCAATATGAAAGTGAGCATGGAACAAGGAAATGCAACATGAGAAACAGGAAATAATATGAAAAGAAAAAACAAATTGAAAATTGTGAGCTTCAAATTTTCATGTTCTTTCTGTCTTGTTTCACTGTGGATGAAGGTGTTTACAGAGGTGCACTCAATCGGGGAGAAGAGGAGGATTATTTCTGTAGAAGCTCATATCCACCCCCTCTAGTCACACAAACAAGTTAATAAGAAAAACAGATTTAATATGTTATTGTATTAAAAGGTGTGTGTGTGTGTGATGCTCATGCAGCATGGATGTTTAGCAGGGGTGTTGGGGAGGAGGGGTGCGTTTAATAAGCACGCCGTCTCCATTCATCTGTTGCTAAAAAGCCGATATGACTGCTCAGTTTGCCATCAGCACTTTCACACCCATTAAGGCTCACGCTTAAGAGCTTGGAGAGATATTCCAGAGTGGGAGACTGACTTGACCGATTATGCAGACAAAGCTGCGTGAGCTGAGTGACAAATCACTCTGCATTTGCAGCCTCACCTTGTTGGTTGTGACAGATTGCAGATGCAAGCTGTGGAAATGAGCTTCAGGGTGTATAAACTCACTTTTTGAGAAAAAGGGAGGAACTTGGTTATTTTGGAGGCGCTCAGAGTAGAGCTGTTGCTGATGTAGCTTGAAGGTCTGACTGGGCACCTCATGGCATGTCCATTTGGGAGAAGGATTCCCTGGGGAAGACTCAGGACATCCTGGAAGCATTGCATCTCTTGGCTGGTCTGGAAATACCCCAGTATCCCTCCAGTATTGTGGTCTGTATGTCTACCAGTGTTTCTTAACAAATCCGGCTGAAACACCAACATGTTTATGCAATGGTGACCACTCAGTTTGTCTACCTATCTGTAGTCGACTTAATGGGTCTACACCTGAAAAGTGCTTAAGGTTAAGGTTGTTAAACTCCTCCCTGAGTATTGGTCAGATTTTAGAGATGAGTTTGTCCTGGATAAGACTGTTTCCAAGCCTCCTTGACCTCTCAGTCAATTTTCTTTCTCATCAGTTTGTGCAGTACAGCCAACCAGTGACAGTAAAGCTTATAACTTTATATCGTTATCTGACACATTGCAATAATCTTTGTATAGTGATGGGTCATGAGCCAGAGGAGCTACTGTGTCACTGAGGCAACAACTTCACACAGTTCGTGCATCCACTCACAAATGCAAAAATGTACTTTTAGCAAGTGAGAGGTGCTGCTGCCTTTTTTTATGTTTGTTTCTAAAGAGGAATTTTAAATGTATACTTCAAGGTGAAAATCTTCTAAACCTAACTACCCACCGTTCACAGGCCCCGGATGCAAAGGAGACTGGGACAGCATAGCATGCTGGGAGCGAGCGGAGTTTGGAGAGACCGTGACCATCCCCTGCCCTCGAGTCCTCAGGACTGTGTTTGGCAGAGATGGTGAGTACGGTTAATTCATAAATGAATGTAAAGGATCTCTTTAACTGATGTTTTTGTGTTTCTGCAGATAAATAAGTTGAGGAAAAATGACATTTAAAAGTCCATATTTTGGTAGCTATTTGCCTAAACTGCTGATCACATGACTATAGTCTTATATTAACATAACACTGGAATGCAGTAACTCACTTAAACCATTGTTATGATTTCTGTGAGTGTACACTTCAGTCTTACTGAGGTCAATTTTGTCATTAGAGTGTATGGGTAACAATTTGTCCTAATCTCCCCTTACACTGAAGGACTGCCATGAAAACACAGACATCAGAGTTAAAGTAAAAACTGATGTGTTTATATATTACTTGAGCATTCTTCTGCTCCATTACTTTTGTTTTGCAGCTGCTTTACAAAAACATTCACACAAAAAACATACAATGAAATTTGGAGCATGAAGAGAAGCAGACCTTTTAAAAATTGTTCTTTTTGTACAGAATTTCTTCCTCCATTTGTTCACTTTCTATGAGGCTGCTCCTGTAATATAATGATATAATGATACCAGGCTTAAATATCTGCAGATAACTTTTCACATTATCTAGAGCTGCACTTAAGTCACTCACCAGATGGGTTCAGCATTAATACTCAAGGCTCTCTGTCCCTGTTTGACATTGTTCATCTCCCAGTTGTGTGAATGTGTGCAGTCAGTGGATTCCCTCCTGAATCCATCAGATTTTCCAGCCAGTGACCAGATGGCAGTTTGGGTTTCCGCTCTGAGTGTGCTCTGATTTACATTGATGACTAAACATTATGCAAGCGCCCAGCGGCTTGTTCGGAGCCAAAGCTCACCCTGACGCTTCCCCTGTCTGGGACAGATACAGACACCCTACAGTTATTACGTTTTACTGAAATGGTAAAGACATCCTTCCTGGAGTTACCGAATACTTTTTTTCTGTCATTTAAACGAAACCAGTGAGAAAGCCATGAATTCAACTTTGAAAGAGAAACTCTTTATTTACTTTTAGTCTACATTAATTTTAGGCAGCTCACCTTCATACTGCTAATTATAGCATCGCGAGAGGTTTAGTTTAACTAAGTAAACAGAACTAAAAAAAGGGGGAAAAACAATAATAACTCAGAAAATAAATGACTTTGCAACATTAAACGTGCACAAAAAAAAATGACAACTTGTCACTTGTACTTGAGACATAACTACACAACTGAGTGGTGTGTCAGTGTCCATAAAATTGGTGAGTCGGCACTGCACAATTTTAACATTTTAAGAGAAAAATTTAAAAACACCCGACCCAACAGAGATTTGTCACCCAGCTCTTCCCACAGTTTTGTTCCAGCTTGTCATTTTTTTTACCCCACTTTTACACTAAATGTCTCCAATCTTAGAAGCCTGTTTTTTTTACTTTACTTTACTTTACAACTGTTTAGATGACTGATCAGTAAACTGAAAGAAAATATATTTTATGTTTTTTATGGCCCCCTAAATGTGAATATTGTGTAGTTTCTCAGATATCAAAAATAGCCATTAAAAAAACTGTTCATCAGACAATTTAATTATTTAAGTATTTCAATCAAGATCAACTCACCATCAGTTTAGAAATTATGGTAATGTCACACTATGGAAAACAACAGTTGGAGACGACCAAAATTACTACAATGAACTTCTTCAAAGTGACTTTGGTGTCTGTCAGTCTGATATCAGTTTGTGATTAAATAGGGTCAAACTGACAATTGAATGTAGTCTGTTTGTGATAATGTTGTATTTAACTGTGGTAAATTGGTTATAAATCACTTGCTGTCTATATACACAGAAATTCACAGTTCAACTACTTAATTTTCAGTTACAGTTAGAAAATAGAGAAAACCCCAACAATTATATGGCCTCCTATGAGCAAGCACTTTGGCAAGAGTGGGAAGGAAAAACTCACTTTTAACAGGAAGAAACCTCCAACAGAACCAGGCTCGGGGAGGGGCGGGGCCATCTGCCACAACCGGTTGGGGTGAGAGAAGGAAGACGGGATAAAAGAAACACTGTGGAAGAGAGCCAGAGATTAATAATCAGGGCTAAGCTAAGGGCTAACCCACACAGAATGGCTTTTCCGAGTCTTTTCCTCACCAGCTCACGGTCACTAAACAACAAGATTGATGAGCTACAACTGTAGATTTCCTCGCCCTGTGTGGATTTGCTCCTTGTTTTGCAACTGCTCCTTTATATGGCATATATAACCTGTATATAACTTGTACAAATCTGTGTATATACTTATATTATTACATACATTTCTTTACCTTTAAGTCTACTTCATGGTTTCTCTTTATTCTCTCTATTCTAAAAGAATTTTAATGTAAAAATCTACATACTGCTAACAGAGAGATGCCAAACTGTCTTTCATTCTTCTTGTAACAGTAACAATAAAGATCTATTTTATTTAGAGTCCACTCAGAACTTAATTTGAAACCAAAACAGAATTTTGCAGGACGGTAAATTAGCAGCAAAATGACCGAGGGTCAGGAATTAAAACCAGAATACGGTCAGTTGATAACTTGACTGCCTCAGACTGATTGCATCGTGCTGCCAATTTAGTTTATGAATTACACTTCAATTAATTTGCAAACCCGTTCACCAGCGATTGTAGTCGGTCTGAGCTGGACTGCAGTTGTTTGAAGACATGTTGCCTCCCACCAGACAACTTGTGCAACTGACTTTTGATTCAAAGTGGTTGCCAATAGATTTTGCGCGGTCACCATTCAATCACCATGTGACAGAGCCATGAATGCTTTTATGGATTTAACCAAACAAGTAAATACTCAGAACAAGTAGAGTCTATTCAGTTATACTATTATTTAAGAGAAGTTCATTTTTAAGTTGGTTTTCATGAAGACATAAATAGTTTGAGTCTTCTGATTTTTTTCACGTTTCCTATAATCTTAAAGGAAAAAAATCTTGTAAAGGTGAGTTTAGATGGAAAATGTCGAGTAAATCTTTAATAAAAATTGGCAGTTGAATCCATATACAAATATTGAAAGCAGTCGTTTCCCCTGCATTTAAAGCTTTATTTTTTTTTATTTTTCAGCCACACTGTGCTCATTATACTTAAACAAGCTGAGTGCTGTCACAGTGTGATGTTAATACCTTTACTTCAGTAAAAGATCTGAAAACTCCCCCCCCCCCCCATTTTTCTCAACTCCATGCTGTATTTGCCAAAGCTTTAATCCACATCTCTGGCTGACTTCTGCACATCAGTGACCACTTGTGTTCAAGACTGCTGTTATATTTAGAGCGAACACAGCAGTGCACGCAGCTCAAATGTTGCAAGTAATCATGCTGTACATGCAAATCACTGTTGGTTAATGAATCGGTGTCTTAGCTTCAACTGTGTCTCCCCCCTCTGTGATACAGTGGACCGGGTTTGTTGAGTGTGTAGTGAGGCAGAAGTATGCTGATGTTACTTCCAGTCAGCGCACAAATGATGCTTCGTGCTTTTTACTGGGAATTTACAAAAGGAGGATGAACTTGCCGTGCACTGCAGAGATTTTGGCACTGGCACCCCCCTGCAAGTTTGCCTCAGGGGTTCACTGTCCACTGTGCATGCTATTCATTTTAGACACACTGATGGTGTTTTTACACTGTGGGAACATAAGCAATAACCTAAATTTTGTGACAATTTGTAATGCAAACTTTCCATTTTTAACATTTTGGGAATGTGCATGCCTGATGGCTCCCTCTAGAGTTTCATGTGGCTTTCTGTCCAGTAGCATCTGTCAGTGTAACGTCTACTGTAGGCTATACTATCCTCTCATTCTACATGACAAATCATTTTGACTGGCTCTCATATATCATGCTTTACAAAGATATTTTTAGCATCCAACTTCACAGTGGCCACTCATTTTTAGTACTAAAATTCATTGAAACACTGATATGCTACAAAATACTTCTATCAAACTGAAATGAGTGATTCATCATAAATTTGCTCAGTTAAGAGTTGAGTGAATATGGCTTGGAGTGCTTGGATGAACAAACCTAACAAAAAGAGAAAATTCTAAGGGTGCCCCGCTGCCAGCGAATCCCCAGAAAAAGTCAGATTATTGGTCACTGATGACATTAGAGATGTTGGTGTGATTTAAATGTGCATTTAGATGAGCAGTTTTTCTTATTTTTGGCTCAGACTCAATATAGATGACCAACTATCAAGGTCCTCCTCAGGAATAAACCTTAAAATTGAATTAAGTCAGGGATGAGAAACCGAGTTTCACTTAGGGCCACAAATGGGAAATGAGAATTGCATTAAGCTTTTAATTGACTCAAAAATGTGAGCTTCATACAACCATTTCACCTACAAGCTTACAAAGCCCTCAACCAGTCTACAAAAATTCTGTCTTCATGACATTTAGTGAAGTAAAATAAATCACTCTGATTACAAGAACACTACCAAACAACTATTTTGAAACCTGTTTCACGTGCTTAAATTTAATTGAATGTAACCAAACAATCCTGATGTGGTGTAAAAAAAAAAGTTATACATTTTCATTTGAGTCTTGTACATATTTCTTGTCTTCTATGACTTTATGTCTTTGCAGGGATTTGGATTCAGAGTTCATAAAGAAAATGCAAATTGTGTTCTTTGAAGATGAGTGTGTTGCAGTTAGCCATAAAGCACTCAGATGTTTGGACAGTGGGGGGAGACTGGAGTGTGAGGAGGGAATCTGCTTTTTGCCATTTGGTTATGTTTTTATGTGCAAAGTTTAATGAAAACTTACAGAAACAAAGGATTGTTAAACAAATAAAAATGACACCCACATTAATTCAGGGGTTCTTAGCATCGACCATTGAGAACAAACAAAGACTGACCTCTCTGATTGGGCTCAAAGAACAGAGGCAAAAACCCCCAGGAAGTATTAGCAAAACCTGACACAGTGAAACCTACATTTTTTTTTCTGTTTGCTAAAAAAGGACAAAGCAGGAAAAAGTGGTCTGTATTTATTTTTGAATATGCTTAAAGAGAGACTGAGTTGTGTGTGCATTTCTTCTCCTGCAGGTAACATTAGCAGAAACTGTACAACAGCTGGATGGTCTGATGTTTTCCCAAACATAACCAGTGTGTGTGGGGCAGACACGAGCCAGGATAAGGTACAGTAAACATCTTAACTGCTGCTTTTTGTTCTTTTGTGTGTCGTAAATGTCACCTGGATGTTAATGAATTCTGACTGTGGAACAGGAAAAGAAGCTGCGACCCCAACATGGACCATTAGTGGCCCCTAATTGACGAAGCCCGCGGGGTTGGCTGTTAATTAACACCAGTTAGTGGTGAAAGACTGCTTCTTTAAAAGGTCAATATGCCCAACAGTAGAGTGATACGTGTTTAAATGTGAGCAATTTGGTGTCTGCGCGCACTGCTGTCTAGTTTTTTGTGTCGTTTAATGGACAAAAAACACCATTAGCCTTCCTCTAGAAGCAATTTGGTGTTAAAGGGTCGTCATTTTATGTTTCCCAGAATATCTGTATAATAGCAGCCATTTATCTAGGTAGGAAATTTTCTGAACGGCTTTCAGGTCATACAGTTTAACTACACTGCCACTATAAGATTGCTTTGGTTGAATTCTATGCATTTCAGACAGTCGGGTATCTTGGAATAGGAACGGGCCGGTGGTTTGCAAATATTTCTACACACATTGTATTCATATCTGTACAAAATAGCCACAAGGTGATACAACATGTTGCTAATTCTTCTTTTTCTTCTATGTTTGGTATCCCATCTACCTGTAGCATGGCATCTACAATCATTTTTTAAGATGGTCTCCACTACATGTGCACATTCAGTTTGCAGTTTGCCTTATATACTGTACCACCATGTATGTTTGCACGTTTCAATAAATCACGGCACCTTTTCCCACTTTTCCTTGAAAATGTGAAGTGAGGAGCTCAAGACTTTTGCACAGCACGCCTCCATCGCTGTATCAGACACTTGGTCTTGTTGCCTCTGAGTTATATCTAGCTCTGTTTTCAAGCAGAGGAAAGTGGTGGTGAATTTGTCCACACAGATGAAACGTTCAGTATGAGAGAATCACTTTTTGTGAATGTATAACTGTAATGTACAGGCGTCAAAAAGTCCCAAAACATACCTAAACTAGTCTCAAGAGATGCACATGTACATGTGCATGTACAGCACAATTTTCATGGTCTGAGCACAGAATCTGAAACTTTGTTATCATTACATTGCAATTGTTTTTCTGGCAGACTTTGAGTTAAATTACGATTGCAAGAGAAACACTTAGTGCTAAAAAAGATGCTCCGTTCTTATGATTGCAAGAAAAACTTTGCAACTTTAGTAGGAGTCAAGCAGGACAGCACAGGACATGTGTCTGCAAACAGCATGGCACAGAGTAATTGGAGGTATGCAGCCAATATCCTGCAGCTCTTCATCTAACAGCTCACTCTAACTGCGTCTTGTTTTTCTTCCATCGCTCCCTGGACATTTTCAAATGATTCATCATCAAAAAATGAACTTTCTACATCAATATTATGATACTTTGTGGATCTCAGCTGGGCAGACTGTTAGATTTGTATTGTTGATTGTCATTTATGCTTAGAAATATTTACTTATATATGCTTAGAGTTTTGTAATTAGTTGTAGATTGGTAGAGGTTTTGATCCTTGATAGTCTGCAAACTTTGTGTGTATTAGACAGCACTTTGGGAGCATGAGAGGTCATACCGTGTCTTATTGTTTTATGGTAGGATTAACGTAGTTGCGTCTGTTCTAGTCTAAGTGCTCTTTGTTTAGATGAACTGCAGGACTTCCTCACCGTGTTATCTAGGATGAACCATCTAGGGTGAGGGGGAGGCTACCCTCTTCCTGACCAAGGATGTTTGACCCTTTGATCAGCAGTCCACACACACACACACACACACACACACACACACACACACACACACACACACACACACACACACACACACACACACACACACACACACAGGCAAGGTACTCTTTGTGTGTATGTAGACGTCATATGTTAATGAACTTGTGCATATTCATGTAACCTCAATAAAAGAACAGTGGTACGGGAGAACGGACGAGAGCAACTGGGGTCAAGCGAAGGAACGGTGCCTGTCCGGTTCTCTCCCGTGCACGAGAAACATGAAGAAGCTTGCCTACTTGTGTCTTGCTTTGCAGTGTAATTATATTGCCTTCAACGTTCCAGCGGATGGGTTCAAGCTACAAACCTATCACAGACATGGATATTTACAGAGGAGGAGGATTATGTGGAGTGCAGTGTTTCACTAGATGCTGACCTGAAATAAAATAGCCAAACACTTAGTGCTAAAAAAGATGCTCCGTTCTTTTAGCACAGTGTAAAAACCTGGCAATGCCATAGCAAACAACTGGGAAAGTGGAGAAGTTGCACTGTGCTCGGAAAAACCCCTAAGTGTAGTAAAAAGTAGGCATGTGTTCCAGTTCCTTATGTTACAGTGGAAGGCAGCGAATTGTATATATTATTTCAATAAGGTCACTTGCAAGAATTGAACAGGATTTACTTCATGATAAGGGGATTAGGTTCCAATGACCCAACACGACAAAACAAAATTCCAGCAGTGACGAGTTTTTATGCTGTTGGTGAAGACTGAGGATGGATGGAGCTCTGACTGAGGCGTCTGTGAGGTGGAGATGGGGAGGAGGTGGGCTGCAGAAATGAGAGTCTGGGAGGAAGGATGATAGAGAACATGGATTTACACTAGGCTTAGTCTTGCACGCCTTCTTTGAGCTGATTGGTTCAAAGAAGATGTGCACTAACATGATTAGATGAGAGTAATGATGTCAGTACTGAGACTGCCAGTGTGGGAAAGTGGTAGTGATGTAAAGAACAGACAAACACTCTAACGCCTGGGAAAGCAGGCAGATGAGTGATTACACTTCCTCCTTATTGAGCATAAGCTTCACTGTATTTAATTGATGTAGTCCAAACCAAACTAAGAGGTAACAGGCGTCTGTGAGGTTCCCTGCTCATCCTACACAGACATCAAATTGATTGCACAACAGGAACATTTTAAGGTTTTAACTACATATTGAAATACGGGAGGGAGTGGGAGCCTGTGACGGACCATGTATGGTCGGATTTCATTTGTTTTGTTTTCTTTTGTAATGCAACAGATACTAAAATCTTTCAAACAAGAATAAATGTTGCTCGCTTTTCTCCTCCAGCACTAAGGGTATAATGGGGTTCTACAAAACACAAAGGCCTTATTGCATCACATCTGTGCTCAAACACAAAGACCCATATTTTATCCACCAAAAAATCAGACCACAAATGAACAGAATGTTAAAATTAGACTGTAAATAATAATTTTGTGCTTCGTGATCACGCAGGAGGAGAGAGACCAGACACATTTCTGCATGAAACCCACCTGCTTCTTTGTAATCAGTTACATGTCCACAACAACACATTTTGTGTAAATTTTCTGGTATTGTTGTTTCATTATTTACTTTATAATTCTGTTAGAATTTCCTGGTGTTTTTCACGTTCTTTCCTGAAACACTAAACTGTGTTACACCTCCCACTTCTTGTGGGTTAAACTAATGTCTAAGACATCACTTTTGTCAGTTTTTCATTCTTGTACAAATAATTCGTTGCAGGAATTTGTCCTTGGGTCTTTGCTTTTATGAAACTTTCGCTAGGTTGAAGGAAAAAAGGTCAAATCGCCTGTCACTGCTTCCTTTTTCTAAATTACAGAGTAAAAGGAATTTGACCCAGTTAATTAACGCTGACACATTACAAGCCATTTTGCAATCCATGCTGAAAGCAGGTCAGGAGGTTACAGAGAATACAGACCACATGTACTGCAGAGAATAAAATAACTGCCAAACAGCAGTGGGTGATAAACACACCACATAAAGTACAATAGAGTAGAAATAAAATACTTTCAGATCTTTTCTTCTCTTTGTTTTTTACTCATGAAGTTTATTCAACAAATTATTCAAATTATCTTTTGCTTCATTGTTTATTTCCCTTGGTGCCGCCATGACGTTGATTTGAGTTTGCTGTGAAGTATAAACAGTCAAGTCCACTATAAGATGCAGTGAAATAAGTTCTGATGCTTAGTGCTGGTTAAAATGCTTCCAACTGAATGTCAGCAAAATTAGCATTAGTATATTAGGGATGACATGCCAGCTTACCAGAAGCAAGACCAGTACAGCACCCCCTGGTGGCTGGCAGCATTATAGATCAGAAATCCCTTCCTCCATGGCTGTGTTGCCTGTTGCTTTGTAGTTGACAGTCACTAGTGGACCAAACTCCCTTTGCCTTGGTAACTTTTTAAAGCATTGAACCTGTCATATATCTGGGAACAGTAATCTTTGCTATCATTTGGTATTTTCCCACCCATTTTGGGTTGCCAACAGTGATTTCGTCCATTTTTGTAATTGTCTATTGTTTCACATCGCTGCTACCCACCTGCAGTTTTCCTGTTTTTAGGGTGAAATGTCTATTAATGTGTCGTCATTAAGTAACTGAGTCAAATTCCCCTTAAGCAGTGACTCAGAATAATAATAATAATAATAATAATAATAATAATAATAATAATAAGTTTATTTATAAAGCACTTTCAAACAAAGTGCTGTACAGCTATTTGAAAATAAAGAGATAAATAAATAAAAGCAACACATAGCAATACAAGTTAAAAACACAATAACAAGTTAAAAACATAATAAAAATTTAAAAACGGTGAACAAGTAGGTCTTCAATCAGCTTTAAAAACCTCCACAGAGCATGTCTGTCTAATATCTTCAGGGAAGTTGTTCTACAAAAATGGGGCACGAGAAGAAAACCCCACACTCTTCAATAGTCTTTTATAGTCTTCTGGCTCTAAGAACTTTTAAAAGGCCAGAATCCTGGCCTTTTAAAAGTTCTTAGAGGACAGGATGGAACATAAAGGTGCAAAAGGTCGGGGAGGTATGAAGGCGCCAAACCATTTAAAGAATTGGAAGTGAGCAGCAGGACCTTAAAATCTGCTTGAACCTGACAAGGTAGCCAATGAAGGAATTTTAGTTCAGGGGTAATGTGCTTAAATTTTCCAGTTTTAGTTAAAATGCGAGCAGCTGCATTTTGCAACATCTGTAAACCTCTAAAACCTTTCTTTGGTAGCCCAGAAAGGAGAGCATTACAATAATCGATATGTGAAGACACACATGCATGGAGAAGAACCTCTGCAGTGTCGCTAGATAAAACAGATTTTGGCAATGTTCCTTAAGTGATAAAAGGCGGTCTTTGTTGTCTCTTTTACATGACATTCGAACGACAGTACCCTGGCGAACCACACGCCTAAGTTTTTAACCTTGTCCCTGCAATTTATGACATAGTCACCAATTTTCAAGATAAAATTTTGAGACAAGTATTGAAATTTTTGTGGCCGGTGTCAATCAACTCTGTCTTATCAGTATTTAGAAGCAGGAAGTTATTTGATAACCAGCCCCTAATTGCCGATAGACACAGAGATAGATACTGACTACGTTTTACTACTAAACATGGAATAACAAATAACAACATCATGTTGGGGGGTGTAGCTACTTGATTCATATCGGAAACCTGATTTGTTTCATACAGTTAATATCTCGTAGTCCTGAGTACTTTATGTTGACATTTGGGGTTTTGTTAATATTTTGCGTCTTTGCTCTAGTCTTGACTTAACTGTTTTTCCCATGACTATTTGTAGTGTTGCAGAGTTTCAGTTTTTTGACCCTGTTTTTTTGCTGTATATAATCAATAGAAGTATTATTAGCCTTTCCCCCAGTGTTTCCTGCATGCGCTGTCTTCTGTCTTGTCTCTCTGTTTCTGCCGGTTCGCCTGCCTCTGTTATTTAAAATTATTGAAATATTTAATTTAGAGTTTCAGCAAATTAAAACAGTGTAAATGTCATGTATCTCTCAGTTTAGCTCAGTACACACAACCACAGTCATTGGGAACACTGCGGACTCGACAGTTGTCCAGATGTTGATCACTGCATCCCACAATATGGAGGCTAAACCAAAGAAGGTCCTGGCTAAATGGCTGGCTGTCCACAGAGAGCTGTTCACAGACAGGACTGCAAGTCACAGTCCTTGATTCTGGAGGAAGAGTGGTAAAGCAGTGGAAGAGATATTTGGGCCCCGGACTTTAAACATTCCTAGTTGTCAGCTGGTGTTGATGGTGGCCGGGTCGTTGTGTTTTATCTGAAGTCAGTACATTCATCTACCGTGACATTTTAGAGCACGTCATGATTCCCTCTGCTTACAAGCTTTATGGAGATGGACATTTCCTTTTCCTGCAGGGTGTAGTACCTGCATTCAGTGCCAAAGTTATCGCAACATAGTTTGTTGACTATAATGTTACTGAACCCATGAAAAATCTATGGATTATTGTCAAGAGGAAAATAAGAAACACCTGACAAACATACAGAAAAGCTAAATGCTACAATAAAAGTAAACTTCAATACCTTCTTAGCTTTGACACAAGCTGATCACCTCCATGTGATGCCACACTAATACAGTAATGAATAATTAATGATAAAGGAGCCCAACCAACTACTCAATATATATGAATGTACTTTTCAGTATACTCAGTATTCTTCCTGAATAACTGGAAAAAACTAAATCTTTTAACCTTTTCCCATTTTTGATATGAAGGAAAAAGCGTTTTCTTTGTTGTTGTTTTTTCTTTTTTTTGGCCTGTCCCATTTGGTTCTTTAGCCATCAGAATTGTTGTCTGAAGACCAACAAGGATACCCAATGGATTTACTTTGCCAAATGGATCATCGTGGCATTGCCGTATTGGTCCATTTGATCGACCTTTGTTTTTATTATTTATTATATTTTATTTTCAGATGTTACAGACGGGACAGACATGAGTGAGAGATAGGAAAGGGAGAAAGAAAGAGGAAGGAAAGGAAAAACAGAAGGGGAGAGGGACAGTGAGAAAGGGGGGGAGAAAAAAAATAAAAATCTTTGTTTTCTTTGTTAAATCATCCGTTCTTCAGCCTTGTCAGCTTTTCCAACTCGGCCCTTAACTTTTGTCAGTTTCCTTCTTCCTCAGTTTTTAAGGTTAGGTTAGTCTGTTGGATTCATAGGTTCTCCTGCCAGTTTTGTGCAAACCCTTTTGTTCCTGCCTTTTGTTAGTTTTGTTGTTGAGTGTTTCAAGCATTCGAGATTAGATTCTTCCTCCTGTGTATGGTTATGGTCCTCACCACGTCTTTAGCTAAGTTTAGGGTATGGGGTAGGGCTTCAGTTTCTCTTACAAATGTATGGATCAAACTGTGCACCAGTTCATGTGAGCTGATGACAAGTGCAGATTCTAAAAATCACAGAGTCTAAATTAGTTTTCAGTTTTAAATTTTGGTGCCTTTTTTCCTGACACGGAGAACAACTTAGCTGTGAATTGAAACACCTGTCCTCCATTGTGTTCATATATTTTGGCTACTGTTGTGTGACCGCAGCTTCATCCTGTTCACTTGTTATTCGTGACCCGTTTTGGGTCACGAATAGTGCAGCTGAATCGCCCATTGTGTTGTCCTGCCTCTCTCACTCTGTCTCTATTAATCCCGTGCTCTCTCCACCACACCCCCTCTTGTCACTAACGTCCTCTTTTTCATTTGATTTAGACACAAATCTTCCTCAGAGCAAATTTGATATCATCAGATCTACAGTTTTTAATAAAGTTGAAATAATAATAAAAGCAGTCAGCATTAGATTAAGTTTGAATTTAATAGAATTATTGTTTCTGTAATATGATATATTATCTTAACTCTTATCTTGTCTAAGGTTTCTCTAAAACAGAACAGAAATAATGCTACAAATTGGGGTTCCTTATAAATAAACAAATAAACAAACAAACACAAATAAGTACAACACATGTGAAGCATGCAAATATCAGGAATGGTAACACTGATATGGTAAATCATTCCTTATTGAGCTAGTTTGGAATTTCCCAGGAATAAAGCACATCTTATCTTATCTTCAAATTAAACACACACTTAGTCAGTACTTGTGTCTACGCCAAATTTCAAAACACTGATTTGTTTAAAGCACTTTTATCATTGTTTATTCAGCCACATACTGTGTATGTTTCTGTCCAGAATTTCTGTTAAATCAAAGTGATTTATTGTGATTACACTTGCCTGCAGTTTGACAGCTGTTGATGCAGGATTGCCAACTCTCACATTTTTGGTGTGAGACACCGAGTGTTAGGTTCTGTCTCACGCTGCCCAAACAAATCTCCCTTTGAATAGAGTCATTTCATCTAAAACTGGAAAACATTCCCATCTCACCCTCAAGAATTATGTGATTATTTTTCTGTTGCTTTAGTATTTGTAATAAAAAACATGTAAGTGTTACTTACATAAAAGACCTCAAACTACATAAAAGTGCATTGGAAATCATCAGTTATTTTTGATTTTTCATAATTCAGCAACACAACGGATAGTTATATTTAAGCTCTATAAATAAGATTTCATGGCTGAGCACCTGATTCCAAGCCTTACATCATCTGGCATTATGCTAAGCATCAGATGCAACAATGTGAAGCATGCTGCCACGCACTTTAGAGCAGTGGAGAATGGAGTGACAATCGTGCTTCTCCATTTGACAGTCCAAAGATGAGTCTGGGTTTGGTGGATGCAAAACTTGTCTGACTGCACTTGTTCCAAGCGTAAAGTTTGGTGGATGGGGGATCATGATGTGGGGTTGTTTTTTGGGAGTTCATGCTCCCAACTTTGTGGGAACAGATTGGAGATGGCTCATTTCTGTTCCAACATGACTGTGCCCCAGTGCAAAAAAACAAGGTCCATAAAGCTGTGGATGAGCATGACTGGCTTGACCTCAACCCCAAGACTGCGAGCCATCCAGTAAACACACTCCTAACCCCTGTGGAAAAGCTTCCCAGAAGAGTTGAAACTGTTATAGCAGCAAAGGGTGGGCTGATATATTAAACCTTGCAGATTAAGAGTGGAATGTCACTCGAGTTCATGCACATGAAGGCAGACGAGCAAATACTTTTGGCAATGTAATATGCTTCACAATCTTCACCTCAATTTGAGGCCCAGTTTAGTGATATGTTAAGGATGATATACATGCATTAATAATTTAACAAAAGCTTTTTTTCCCCCTTTGTCTGCAGCTGGTCTTCTACGTGGTCGTGCAGACGTTGTACACTCTGGGTCACAGTCTGTCTTTAATTGCCCTCACTACAGGGTGCGCTATCCTCTGCCTATTCAGGTAAGACTGAATACTAAAATATTATTAAATCAGAACATTAAGATAAAAAAAGTAGCATCTTTATTTAACATTTACTGCACTATGCTACATTTCTTTCATTACCAACATGTGTGCAGGAAGCTCCACTGCACCAGAAACTACATCCACCTCAATCTCTTCTTCTCCTTCATTCTGAGAGCCGTGGCGGTGTTGGTGAAAGACGACATCCTCTTCAACCGAAACTCGCACTGCTCAAACCAGCCATCACTGGTGAGGTCACCACCTCTGTCCTCAGCGAGCAGAGTCATATCCCGAGGGAGGCCAACAATGCAGCACTGAGTACAGAAAGCCACACACCCATGTGTTAACAGCAGAACTGTCACAACGGGAAAAATGTTTCAGCGTAAAGCCTGACAAAGTTTAAAGCATGAAATAATAAATGGGAATTAGGTCTGCATGCTTCAGATATGAAATTAACATCTCAAACTGTCAAACGTTCTGCTGTGACAGTTTGTTCTTCAGATTCAAGTAATCATTTTCTGAAGGTGGCTCTGCAGAATTTCCTGGCAGTTAGCCCATTCATGTGTTCGGTGAGACAACAGCCAGTCACGCATGCTCCCTATCTGCTTAGCTGAGAGGGCCAGTAGCCTGCGTGCTTTCTGGTCCTAAAACTGTGGAAGCATGCAGAACATCAAGGAAGAAGTGTGGACAAGAAGAAAAAAAAGCTTTACTGCATGCACCACTGAGCAGCTTTCATTAAAAGGCACGAGGAGTTAGGTTGTAATCTGGTACCCAGTCCTCCTAATACACCCGGGATATACAGTGAGCCACACAAACATGGGAGCAAATCCAAAAGCCTGAAAATCCTTAAAGCTTCCGTGGGGCAAACTGTGCACCATCTTCACTGCGTAATAGACACTTTTGTGCTGAGTGAGTGAGCAAGAGTATGTGAAACTGTGCCCTAGTGTTACACTGTTGTTTTTATAAGTTACCCAGCACTGATGTGTATAGAAAAGCCTGCATTGCTGCCCAGTTTCATTGCCAAAGCATTGATAATACAATTTTGTCAAAGCTACAGGTGTCTCACAGATACTCGGTATCCCTGGCATTGGTGCTCTGGAGTGTTCTAACCTTGCATCCATGTGCTCCTTGGATAGTAGGATTTCCCATTTTGGAATGAGATTCTTCCGACTTTGTTGCGTTAGTACACTTTAAAAAATTGGAACATGAAAATAACCTGGACATTACAAAGACAAGGATATTGTATTTTACCAGGTGCTTTGCCTGATTTATTAGAATTACTATAAACTAGATCATTCTATTTGGATAGCAATTAACTGTTATGACCTAAAACCATATTACAATGCACAGTCAACATTTGAATAAATTTGTGGCACTGATCTAATTTTTCATGCAATCAGCCAAATATTTATCTGCAATGTTTTAGTGTGGCATCAGTAACTCTGCAACTTTTTTGTTATTGCCTATTTTCCATGTTCCTTTTCCCACTTGAGTGATGTTAATGTCAATTTTCCCAGGCTGACACAACCAACTCCAATTTTAGACCTACTCCAAGTATGTTTACTGCAGGTCTTTCATTCTGCAGGGCTGATGTTGCACAAGGGGTGTTTTTCTCCAGAAAGGAGTATGCCTTACTGAGTTTTCTGTCTGGCAAACTTGGCACTTAAACTGCCACCTCCGAACCTTCTATGGCGATGCAAACTTTCTCTGTCTCTAGATGAAGTCTGTTATCGCTAATATTTCTGTCAATGCAAAAAGCACCAAATGCATCTGACAGGATAACAACAGTCATACTCTTGGATTAGAACACGGTGGATATTTCACCGATCTGCGCCATTACCCTTTGCGTCATTTCAATACGTTATAAATCCCGACTTAGGAAGATCGCAGCTTGTTCAGAGCAGTGTGGCGGGCAAAAGATAAAGGACAAAATTTGCAACCTGTTTCTGTTATTTATGTATGTATCTATGCTCACTGATGCGCTTTACACAGACTGATAAACACACTAGCTTTAAAACAGAAACACCACAAAAGTATCATCCAGTTATACCTTCATGAAGGCGGGTTTTAATTCATGACTGTTGTATTAGTTTCAGCTAATAAACTGACAGCAGAAAGCTGACATCTGATCCTCTCCTTGCCTCAGTAGCTGCCTGACTCTTCCCTCATGACGTTCCTCCTCCACTCACCCTCATTGTCAGGGCACTCTGACCTTTATGCACTCATCTGCTCGGTGCTTGTGACGTCATAATCTGCTCTGGGTGAACTCTCTGACAGATCCAGTGGAAAAATGGAAATGTATACCCACATATCAGAATACTAAGTATAAATACATGATTATCCTACACTGTGCTCATGGTTACAATTAACCACATACAGTCAGCGATGTACAGTCAAGGCTGATATTATATAGTTTAAGTATACACAAAGCCTATTTAACATCTTTGTACTCTTTCTGTGTTCTCTTTAGGTGGGATGTAAAGCCAGCCTGGTGTTTTTCCAGTATTTCATTATGGCCAACTTCTTCTGGCTGCTGGTGGAGGGTTTGTACCTCCACACTCTGCTGGTTGTCATTTTCTCGGAAAATCGACACTTTATTGTCTACATGTTCATCGGCTGGGGTAGGTACATTTTCTTATTCTTTATTTGATTTTGAGTCAAATGGCCACGTGGGAGCTTTCACTCTGTTATAGCTGCAGGTTTAGCAGCTTAGTTATGATTTTGATTAGATATCAGAGCTCTCATTACTTTAGGCAGCTATTTAAGCAAATAAGCCAAATGTTTTTTCCCTCAAATTCAACAATACCGTGCTACATTTGTTATCCTACGGATTCAAACTTGATATAATGCTTGACTGAAAAGTTACAAGTTCACCAAATGGCTCAAGGTAAAGGAAAAGGAGAAACTTCATATATGCTCAACGTGGTTTGGCTTCAGTTAAACAAGGACACAGACTGGTTGGCAAACCACCAACAACCTCTGGTTGCTAGGGAAAAAGTACAAAGTAAAAGCTGTGCATTAATGCTGAAGCTAACTGCGGCGGGGCGTGGTCTGCAGTGCTGCTGCTACTCGATGGTAATGGAAAGCCAGCTAATCCGAGTCGAGTCGTGGCGAGGCGATCCTATTAGGTACTAATGGAAAAGAGACCTTAGTGAAGTTGCATAATAACTGAACTGAGCCTTTCTGCTGTTGCCTTCTTGGTATTTTAAAACCAGATGTTAGAAAAGATTAGGTCTGACTGAGAAACTGTCATGGTAATCCCCATGGGACATCTTTTCCCAAACAGAGGATTTCTCCCCTGCTGGTTGTTAGTTTCCAGAAGCAATGTTCATCTTTTATTTCCATTTTTCCTCCTCTGAAAGACAGTATAACACCGTCTAGTTTTGAGCTTGAGATGGAATTTATCAACAAACAATTAAAAGCCTTAATATACACTGAAGCAATCTGTTTAGAGTCTTAATACATGGATGGAACTCACATTACTTTACTCAGAAAGATTAAATCGTAACTAGCAATAAAAAAAATAAGAAATGCAAACACGATGTGATAATATTTTCTATACTTCATGGTTGTTGACAGGAATCCCCACTGTGTTTGTGTCTGCGTGGGTGATAACGAGGATTTATCTGGAAGACACGGGGTAAGTGTAACAATCAGAGAGTGAGTTATCACCATAGAAACGCAGTCCAGGTTTGTTATTTATGAACTATATAAAGTCTGTTAAACATACATGGATTATATTTTACTAAATAGATTTACATTCTGACTGAATGTCTGTCTGCAATTTGTTTTTCTTCAAGTTGACATGTGTCTATGTGTCATGCTCTCTCTGGAGCTGTTTATTATATTCTCCTTTAAAGGTTGACAGAAGTTAGGCAGCTCCAGTTACATTAAAGAGAGGCATGCATTGGTATTCAACAGCCACTGCCTCTGTTTTTTCGTTAGGGCCTCAAATTGCATTTTATTGATTAGACTGTTATTCATTACCATGCAGGAAGGGGGCCCAGTTTTTCAATTAATAAGAGAAATATCTCACATGTCAAAGTGCACTTTATTGGATAACTTAGCTGACAGGGTTTGCTTTGAGATGTCATCACAGGAACCTGGTGGCGTTTGGCTTTTGTTGCACATTATTGCAACTGGCACTGCAGCTCATTATCTATGAGTCATGCCGTGTAGGCGAACTATAAAAACAAGCTTCTGAAACAAGTCTATAACAATTACTGAGGCAGGGTCTGATAGCAAAGGACAGTAAGGACATCACTCCAGAGTGTGAGGAGAATGATAATGAAATTTGTTAAGTTTTAAGTTCATTACCAAAGCCAAGAAGAAGACTGAGACTAAGTCACAACAGTGAGTCATTTAGTTTCCTTGACTTATATTTTATTGAACCATACCATCCAAATATCCAGAAAGCTTAAATATTTAATTGTTAGGACAATCTGTCATATTTAAATGTGTCATTTTACCCCCAAAGACACGCTGACCTTAAGAGAGTGAAGAGTTTGACCCAAATGAACAAAATGGTTTTGGTCATAAGAACCATAAGAACATATACATTTTGTAAAAATACTCAATATTTACGGCATGCATTGGAGTCCATTGTGAAGATTTTAATGGTCTGATTATGGGAGTGTTAACATTAATAATAAAGTGATAAAGATGGAAAGAAACTGTATCATGCAGTATTGGTCCTGATGGACCGCAGCCTCCTGCCAGAGGATGTGATTCAAGGGAGGAGGAGTTGGAGTATCCCAGCACTGACTTCAGAGTTTAGGTTTCCTCAGCTGCTGCAGGAGGTGCATCCTCTGCTGTGGTCTTGTAATGAGGGAGCTGATGTTTTGCCTCAACTTTGAAGTCTTCATCTCCCAAGACCTACAGTATCCAACAGGCAGTCATGCAGGCTTATGTTGGGCATGGGATCCTCCTGAAGTCCCCAATCATCCCCACTGATTTAACAGCACAGAGCTCCTGGCTGTTGTCTCTGAATTGGTCATAAGGTTGTCAGTGCACCCTCACACATATCCTTGAGATGAGTTTGATGAGGGTGGTGTCTATTGTGAACTTCGGGAGTTTGACAGACTGGTGACTGGTGGTGCAGCGGTTGGTATGCAAGGAGAAAAGCAGGGGAGAGTGTACACAGCCTTGGGGAGATCTGTTACTAAAGATCTGAGAGTCTGATAGGAATTAAAGTCTACAGAAATAACCAGACATAAGTTACTGGAGGTCTATGTGCTGGAGGATGAAGTGCAGTGCCAGGTTAACAGCATTGCCTAATTGGGGTATGGTTGTGGTGGTGGGGATTTGAGACAAGTCTGTAGTCATTCAGGATTGTGATCTATCTAAAAGAACTTTGAGATTTCAAACTTGTACCTTTTTACATAGGTGAAATCAAAAGAGATTGATTGGCACATTGGGGGCTCAGTTATAATATTGACACTGTCACTATAAACTGGAATGTTTATTAGCTGATCTACGCCCCACGTAAAGGTTTGGACTTTAAGTGAAGGTCACAGGATTGCCTGCAGCAGAAATGAGCTTCATTAGTAGAGATCAAACATAGAGTTAGAATTATGTTTTCTCACAAAAGGAGTCAGTAAGATGGGATCTATTACCATCTGGCTTCCTCCAAATTTGTAGAAAAATTACTAGTGCTCAAGTTAAGCAGTGAAGACCAGGTTCTTTCCATCTTATGGTACTTTTTGCAGTGATTCAACATTTATTGGTCCACTAGCACTTCCTCTGTTTTTTAAAATGCCCATTTTTTATTACTGTTATATATAATATTTACATAACTATTACATTCATATTTTTGTGTGACCTTCAGGTGCTGGGAAACAAATGACCAACCCATACCCAACTGGGTGATCAACGGACCAATTGGATTCTCCATTATGGTAAGCCATTGCTTTCATTTTTACCTGCAGATTTTGCGTATTGGTTAAAAAAGCATTCAGTTGCCTATAATGAAAAACTGGTTGATTAGAAAAAACAAATACTGAAAACATAAAGTGGAAAACAAATAAGTCCGTCATGTGAAACAATATCTGTCTTTGACCTTATTCACATTTTTTAAATCTGGTTTTGGACTATAATACAAAACCCTTTAGAAACCTATGGCAATGTTTCAGATCTCACTAGTACGATTTTCTAAATTCCCATTGATACATCCATATATTTTTCAAATTATTCCATAACATTCTACAGAAATGATCTGTATTTAAAGTACAGTAGTCTTTTAAAATCGGTCCTTTTCCAATTTCAGCTACACGTGAAGAAAAATAAAATGTATCAAGAAGACAGCAAACAGCATTACCGGATGATATTACAGTTGTTTCTCCCGGTATATTTCACTAAAGTGTTAGAGTTTGTGAGCCTTTTGATTTTAAGATCTTTTAAAACCTGAAAGAAAGTCTTAAATAAGTTCATACTCATGACCAAGCGTTCTGTGTAATGTCCAAAAACAGCAGTGTGATGTGTTAGTACCTCATGTCTCAAGGTGTTAACTTCATAGGAATTCCCGCTGAGTGCATTCCTGCTGCCCTGCTGAGTGACAGCCCACCATAATCTCTTTCATCCTTTAAAGGCATACATGGATATAATATGGCCCGAGGGACAGAGGTGGCTCACAGACCATTTTATCCACTCTACAACATCCTAAAGGATAATAAATCAGCTTCCCTCCCTCAAATTTTTTTAAATCAGTATGTCTCAGGCATCAGTGACCTACAGCATGCAGTGCTTTGTATCAGCCAACTGCAAAGATGTAGCCTAACTTAAATGTTCATATATATTCATAATATTTTAACTGCGACCAGTACCCATGTTATATGGTTGTAGGGTGCAGGGCAATTTCTGAGTACAGCACAGTCAATTTTCTGGGACGTCCACCCCTGAGAAGATTGCGGCATATTGTTAACACACAAATACACCAGACCAACAAAGTAGCAAAACTTCTGTTTTTATAGATGTGGTCAGACCAGCTGGCAGATACTTACTCTCTTAATTTCTGCACAGAGTCTTGTGAAAATATTTTCTTTCCTCAGGACTATATTTTGTCACCTTCTTCTGTCACAGACATGATGAGAAGTGTGAGAGGAAAATGTTTGCCTGCCAAAATGTCTGTGTTTGGACTACAGCACCATAGGATCCCATTCATTCTGGATTGTTTCGCCTAAGGAACCAGAGGTCCAGAGAACGGGAGCTCTAGATTATATTAGAAGTTCTCTGATGATCGCCTTTTAGCTAGCATGAAAAACATAACACTAAACATTAGAATGATGGCATTATGCAGTGATAGAGATATTTTGCTAGTTTTTGCAAAAATATTTCCATTTGTAATGTTTAAAAAAGATCTGAAACAACAGAAAATAACTGTAACAGAAAACAAGTTCAGTCTGGTTTTTTTTACGTATTTAAGGAAGAACTTTATACATTTGCCTAACAAGCAAAAAAAATCTCTGTTCAATGATGAGACACAAATCCCTCATTTTTAAAAAAAAAGACTTAAGTAGGCTGCTTTTTATTTAGAACAAGGCCTTCCTGTTTTAAATTGCGTTTATATCATGACCTCCTATTTCTTGGATTTGGTGGGTGGCAAATTATCGAACACAGCAAAATAAAAATCACCCCTTATGGATTATAAGTTATTTTTTCACTCCCCCCAAGGTAAACTTCATTCAGTTCATCTGCATCATTCGGATCTTGGTTCAGAAGCTGAGGTGTCCTGACGTGGGCGGCAATGACCAATCACAGTACAGGTAGGATTCGATTTGATGCATGAGCACAAAGGAAACCGCACCTCTGCCTTCCTGGATCCTCGTTTTGTTATATTTTCATTTTTTTCCAACATGCACTTGAAGCCAAGTTAACAAAAGGTGACAGGTTGTGTCAACTGTTGTGTCATCAAGTAAATGACACCTGCTCAGTCAGTAAAAGCTGCTGTGGATAAAAGAGTCAGCTAAATTCTTCAAAGTATAAAACATGATCATCTGAGACACCAAGACCATTTTTTATCCTCTAGTATTGCTGACTGAGATAAGAGTGACGCTAACGCTCATTCGACAAGACAGCGTTTCAGGATGCTGCTCTTATGAAACGGGGGGGAACCTTTGTTCCTTTATGGAGCCACATTTTCTCTGCAGTTTAGTGTCTGTTTAAGGCTTTGCTTTGTTTAATCTTCAGGCAGTTTTCCTCTCTGGTGAAATCTTACTCGTGCTGAGCTGTCAGGTATTCTTCATGTCCACAGGGATCCACGATTTAGTGGCGAGAGGTGGTGGGTAAGCCCAATTTGTTTCACTGCAGGATCTCTTGTTGGTGTAGGTGAAGACTGAGCTGACACTTGACAGCTTGGGAGTGATGCAGGAAAAGAGGATTTTACTGTTTTCTTTGGGAGTGTGCTGCATGAGCAGTTTGATTGTCCGCTTGTATCCCGATGCCACGTGGAAAAGTGCAACTTTTCTTTCTTACTTTTTGAGATTTCCACTGTTGAAAGGCTTTGCCCAACAATGTCAATTTATTTTTATATGGGGTTTTCTATGAACTCATAATCACAGTGTGAAAGAGACAAATAGGAATTGTATCCAAGAAAGTTCCTTAAATGAGCCAAACTGATGCCAAACAGCCAACAAAGTGTAGTGAACAGATCCTTGATCTACGTGGAGCAGCAGTGCTGAAGATGTCAACACAAAAGAAGGTTGATGGCAAAGTTTTAAGAATTTATTAAAGTCCTACAAAAATGTGACAAGTCAAAAAGAGGAATGTGCATACAATAAATACACAAAGAAATAGAATAACATATATTATAAATAAAATAATAAATAAAGACAAATTAGCAGAGGACTTTCAAGCATGTTCAGCCAGGAGGAGACCCTGGAGCAGAAGTGGGAAACACTACAACTGACTGGCTTAATTGGCTTGGGAATACTTTGGTATCACCCTGGAAATAAATCCATACTCATGAGCAAGCGTGGTGTTAGAGCACAGATGGATGGGTGCATTTAGTAGTCTGATTGCAGTGGGATGTAAAGGGTTTTTGTAAAGATTACTTCTGATATCAGATTTGTTGATGGTGTGAGCCTCCCAGCAGAACCCTGGACAGCAGATGCAGCGAGTTATCTCAATTCAAGAGAACAGTTCGAGCTCAGTTTTAAAAAAGTCCGACAGGCTTCTTTGTTTATGTCCACATAAATCTGTGACTTTCCTCCATTTGCGCTTTGAACTGAAGACACTTCAGTGAGAGATGAAACGTCTTCAAGCAACTTCAATAAGTCCAGACGCTTTTCTTTCCAAGCTCCTTAGATCTTTCCACTATTTCACTGCCTCACATTACCATTGGGTGTATTTTTATGTTTAACACTGAGACAGCAGAAAGAGTGAATACAGAGGCTTGTTTTTACAGGCTGCAAGGCCCAGGTGAGCAGAGTATGGTGAAGTATGTTTGGACCACCTACAAAAGAATCCGTGTCAGACGAATTAGGCACCCTAGTCATCCATGTTTAACTGATTTATTGCATCGGTCTTGTAATTAACAATTAAAAGAAACACTGCATCATGTCTTATTCTTAAATTGTATCATAAAATAATTGTATATGACTGTTTCTCTCTCAGGAGGCTGGCCAAATCCACACTCCTGCTGATTCCTTTGTTTGGCATCCACTATGTGGTCTTCGTGACTCTCAGTGAATCCATCGCAGAAGATTATAAAATATTTTTTGACCTTGCCCTTGGATCTTTTCAGGTGCTGAACAAGTGTCTTTCACCTTATTGATCCTTTAAAGCAGCGATTCTGAAACTTTTCTGAAAAAACTTTACTTCATTAAGTGTTTGTTTTTTTAGGGTCTGGTCGTGGCCATTCTCTACTGTTTCCTGAACAGTGAGGTAAGTTATCAGGTGAACTGATAAAATACAAAGTATGGATTTAGTCATGTTAATGAGCAGCCAAATTGATTAAACAGTAAAACATTTGAATGAAAGTGATTTCTGTGAGGCAAAATAGAAAATCTATCCATGAATGTTTCTATACTCAACTGATAGTGTGCCTGTTTTGCTTAATTTTGTCAAACTTTCATAGAAACATTTAATAAATTACATTTGTTGGAGCTAAAACGTGTTTTCCTTATATTCGTTTATTAAAAAGTGTTTAAAATTAAAATCTGCAAAGTGTTGATTGCTGAGTGTCCTCCTTCTATCTGCCAGTCAGACTCCATTCATTAATAAACTTAGCTACACTGTGTCAGCTGAATTTGTCACACCTTTTGACTTTATGTAAAATCATTGGATGTATCATGATGTGTTCCATTACATTATCATAAATACTGGTGAGTGGTGAATTTGACAGATGGAGGAAGTTCCGCTCAATCAGTTAGAAGCTGCCCGGGATCCCAAATAATTACTGTGCATGTAACTGATATGTGTGATTAATATTTGGAATGAGGTAGTGATTGAACTGTAGCAAAGTTTTATGTTCTCCATAGATACTCATGGAGAATATGAAGAAAAACAAAGATGAATGGCAGATATCAAAAAGGAGGAAAGTATTTATAGATTTAAGATGCCACTCAGGCAATTTGATCAACTGGATACAAAATAACAAGGAAGCATCTTTTCCTTGTTCTTTTCCTAAAGTGGAAGGTGCTCATTGATGCAAATGCTGAGAAAGATTTTCTAAATTTGGTCTCACAGCATTCTTCTTGCCACCATTCTGCAACCCCGAGCTCCAACTGAAACTGGGGAATGGGAAACTGAATTTTCCACCAACTAAGCAGGCTGATTTATCCTGGCTTATATAAGATGATCACACAGATAATCAGACATAATCATGCCAAATGTTGCTGGACCAAATGGATCAAATTATTTACACACACACACACACACACACACACACACACACACACACACACACACACACACAAGGCTGTGTCTCCCATTTTTTAGTATCCCCCAGAAGTGGCAGATGAGATGCATTGACTAACTGGATCAAGTTTTTTTAGCTATATTGGTGTTTAGTTGATCCAAATGATTACATTTTTTTTATTTTACCTGTTCCTGAAGGTTCAAGGTGAGCTAAAAAGAAAATGGCGGAGCATGTATCTGAACTGTCGTCTGAGCAGGAATCGCCACAACAACACCTTCGCCTCCAGAAACGGTTCACAGCACATGGTGCAGTTTCACAGCAACTCCAGAACCCAGTCCATTCTGCAGACAGAGACCTCGGTGCTGTGAGAACACGAGGTCTTTGACACACAAACAAACATACAAAAAAATGCAGTCTTAAGATTGACCTGGGTCCAATAGTTTTACAAAGTTATTAGGAAAATACAAAAAAGTAGTACTTTGAAATGAAGTACCACAAGGGTGGGACCTGCACATCATTGTAGTGCAGATTTTGGTTTTAGCTTTACAAATCTCTGCAAGCCTTCAAGTTTCTCATTAGTGGATCAAAAACTTTTCAGATCTGTCCAGTGAGGTTTACTGTGTTTGCTGCTAAGAGCCTTTTTTTTTTTTTGCAGTCTTTATGCTATGATGTCTGCTGCGTGAGCAGAGAAAAACATGTGCAACGTCCTTAAACTGTTTTACCTGGAACTTTGTGCACAGATGAGATATAAAATGTATATACTTGAATGTCGCATGCATTGAAATCTATATTTTTGAACAAACATATACGTGTAATAGAAACAGCATGATCTAGGTGCTGCAGACTTTAAATTGGCTCTTGCAAAAAATGCAAAAAAAAACAGAACCATTTTTGCTGTCTTTAACAGAAAGCAAAACAGGTGATTGTTTCAGTATACAAATCTTTATATAACTGTTGCCTGCTGTGCGATTTAACACCGCTGGTAATACTGTGCTGCAGTCTTACCAGCTGTCATTTTGGAGCCATGTTGTAAAATATAATAGATTGGCTATGGGAAACCTTGCAATACTTTTTTGTTTGATACTGACCTAAAATTCATGGTAGCCGTGTCAGGATTTAGTTTCCAGAACGTGCATGCTGTATGCAATAACGCAGCAAAGTGACAGTCCTGTCATTAAATCCCGCAAAACTACTCACCTTAGTTCTTTCTTATATGTTTTCAATCCTTTTCCATGTGCCTCCTGTGTTCTCCCAGCCTTATCACAGGTGTCTGTGTGAGTTTGTTCCTCACCCTGTTTCAGTTTAATCCCTGCTTTGAAAGAATGATCTTAATGTGGTCGATTTTAATTCCAATCTTTTTTAATTTCCTATTCTTATTATTGTCTTGATTGAGTCCATCTGTTCCCTCTCCATGGTGTTTGTCTTAGAAAAATAGACTCTTAGCCTCCAAATGTTCTCCTGTTGTTTGGTGCTCCTAGCTGGCTGTCACTCTTTAAAGCACCTTAAGTTATCAAATTCCTGATTAAAGCCTCTTGTGTTTCGCCACCCTCCTGTCAGTTGCTGTTGTGTTTGCATACTGGGTCCTAATGGGAATATTTCCAAAAATCTGTGAGAAATGCTGGTGTCCAAACCCAACTTTAACACAGCATTTGCTTCCAGTACCAAGTCATTGTTGTTGCCTTTTTACCACAGCTGTCTCCAAACCCAAATTTGGGCATATGTTATCCCTTTTGGAGGCCATAGGTAGTACATTTATTATCATTTAAATAGAAAAACTTGGTTATGTAAATTTAAAAAAAAAATAAAGTTGTAAAAATTGATTTGTAAATATTTTTTTAAACATTAGGTTTTTACTTCTAGTGTCTCTAGCTGTTCTTTTAATAAGCTTCTCCTAGTTTTTTTTTTTCGAACCATTTCACATAAAGGTCAGTTTTAATGATTGATTTTTTACAAATATACAGGGAAAGGTGACAACTTGTCACTTCAGTGAATCATTTACTAGTCCACAGTGGCCACACCCACCCATTTGATACTTAAAATTACTGGTAAGAATAAGTCGTAATTTTGACCCAGGTCAGCACATGAGCTCAGTGTTTCTGGGCTTATGGTTAAAAACAAAACAAAACCATTGGTAAACACTTTCATTTTAATGCACAGTCAACAAACTGCTGTCACTGAGAAGTCCTGAGCATGCTCCAAACTCTTCATCCATGCTCTGATGGTTTTGGCACAGTGCTCGGTGACCTGTTCTAAAGACACAACACAGACGAGCACTTTAAAGATGTCATTTAATTAACAAGATGACGTGTTCGTGAGAGCCTGTGTTGGGAAATAATGTTGTCTTTAAAATTACTTACATAAAAAGAGGTTTATATGATAGAAATTCGCTTCAAAACACATTTAATGTGTTTCAGCAGAAGAACCTCCAGGCCGTCACCACTTAACGCAGAAGTGCCTGGTGGATACAAGTAACTATGAAATGTTTTACTTTATGTTGGTTTTATTCATGCAACCAGTGTTTTGTGGTAGTTGCATGAAATCCTCAGTGTTTGACTTTTTTTGATTGCTTTTGGTAAACGGCTGTTAACGTGTGATTTCTTGTAGATTCTAATTGTATATTTTGTCAAGACAAAACGCGAAAAAATGAAAACTTTTGCTTTTTGCAATGTGCTATATTTTTCTTTAACATGTTGTATTTAATGGTCAGCACAATACAAAAAGTTCTGGTGACACTTGATTTAAGGCATACAGAATTATTTTTAGTAGTTTCCTCTTCAAACCTTTAATTTAAGTGTATGTGTGTGTCCCTATATTTTAAATCAGCATTCAGTTCTTGCGTTGTGTCACAAAATATAGTTAATAAAATACACATAAACATCGAGGTAAAGTCATACTTGCAGCAGCAAATAATCTGGTCCATAAAATTTGAAGAACTTAGAAGGAGATCAGATATTTGTCCAAACTTATTTCAACGTGTTTTGCAGGGTGAACAACACTGAGGCAGAGATGAGTCTTGAAATTTCTGTTTTGTTTTTAAAGCGATTATTATTTATTACATTTTTATGGTATCCTCTGCATATCAGCAGATGATACAAAATACTATATATTACATTACTAGGAATGTATGATGCTTTACTCTTTCAAGAGTTATTTTGGGGATTTTATTCATGCTTTTATTTTATGGGAACTTATTAGACAGACAGGGAGATGCCTAAAGAGCAGACTTGCAGCATGGATTCACTGTCTATGGTGCAAATGGTGCTTTGTTAAAAATTTGGAAAGGGACAGAAAAGGAAATGACAAAAAAAGAGGGGGCAAAAAGATAAAGCATGTTTGAATAGTATAGATAACGACAACTGTGTTCTTCATGGTAACATGTCTTTGTAGTTTCTTAGTAATCCACTTCATGGTAGTTTTAAGTACTTGGATTTAGTTACCTTGGATTACTGGATTACTTTTTGGTTTGTGAAGAAATATCATCCCTCTGTTTCGTCATTGTCATCCACCTACAACCAGTCAGATGCATGGTACAACATAAAGAGCCAGCTCAACAGGACAGACTCATCTGTGTCTGTGACAGGAGTAAAATAGGCCGTCTGTATCTCCTGTAAACAGTTAGCACTAAACAGAGGTGGCGGCTTAAAACACCAGGTCTCAGTAACCTAGAATGCAGTCTTGAGAACCCCACCAGGCAATTCATCCCACACTCCCAACTCAACCCAACAAGCGTCTTGAAAGAGAGATGAAATGTCCTCACACACCAAAACAAAAACACAGCAATCATTTAGTCTAAGATATTTATTAACAGTTTTAGTAGCAGGTGGGTACATACTAAGGTTTTAGCTCAGCTGCTGCTGATTTTGTCAAAAAATTATTTGGTCCTTAAACAGAAACTAAATAAGTAAATGTTCCCACTTAACAAGCTGTACCTGGTCATGTTTAAATAACGATTTAAACAAGTGATCATCTATTGAAATCAATGTCGATTAATTTAACTAAACAACTTGTTTAATTGTACAGAAATTTCAGTTGTAATTTCAAAACAAAGCTGTTGCCTTAATGAAAGTGTTACCAAGTACCTTAAAAGATGTCACTATGTTACTCAGTGTGTCATTTAACATCTATGTGACTACAAATGATTGAGAGTCTACAAAACCATATACACCACACAGTGTTGACTTGCCGAGTGAATTCATATTTAATGTTGACTGACGTGATGCTACGAATCATGTCGCCTGAACACATGTATTTGTACTTAGACACCATGAATGTCATGCAAAAGATGATTGATAAAGGCTACCATTGTAAGCATTGCACTGTGTGAATGTAACTCTCTGGAAATTTGCATTTTATTTAATATTGCTTGTTTGTCTGTCCCCTCAATGATAGGAACATGATTTCTGGGTGGTAACATTTATTACATTGAAAATTCTAGACACTTGGGCCAAACTTGTTTGCAGTTCAAAATCATTTGAAGTCACTGGGGTTGGTTTTATCCATTTCTTCCTTAAACTAATCTGAACCAAAACCATTCAAAAGCTTGCAAATTGTGTAATTATCATCATTACTAATAGCCTCAAGTGATTCAAAGACTCTGAAAACTACTTTTAAAATCTTTGAACCCATTATAGTATCTACACCAGCCCAGACCTCGAGAGCTTTGGTCCTGCAGATTTTAGATGCATCCCTGCTCCAACACAGCTGAATGAAATGGTTGAATTACCTCTTCAGCAGGCCATCAAGTTTAGCAAAGGCCTGGTAACAAGCCAATCATTCGATTCAGTTGTGTTGGAAAAGGGATGCATCTTAAAGCTGAAGGAGAGTAGCTCTCGAGGACTGGAGTTGGAGACTCCTGATCTACACAATCTAAAGCGTATCCCAGCAGTTGGTGGCCCCTTCAGTGCTGATACTGTCTTCATCTCAAACAGGAATGAGCCTAGCTGTATAAATGTCGTGGAAGCTTTTATTCCACCTGAGAACAGTAGCTACTGGCCTTATTATAATTTATTCATTTTAGAGTCTGACTCAAGGCCAGTTCATGGTTTCCATGTTGAAGAGGCCACATAGCCAGCTGTGAGGAAATTCATGCACAGCCCAAATTTTGGGTCCTCAGAGGGAAACAACGGAATATGTGCCAAAAAACTTACATAAAAACCTGGTTTTTGCACCACATAAATTTCCACCATGTATATTTTATTGATGACACGTCCACATCTTGTTTTTGGTTGCTATTTGTGTGTGTGGTTGTGTCTGTCTCTTCTAGCAATATTGCACATAAAAAACAGGTTGTGCACCGTTACACCATCAAAGGTTAAAATTTGATGTGTTGGCTTCTTCAGCTCACACAAAGAGTGTACTTTATGGTATCCATTTATGGAATACTACATTTTATAATGAACTTTAAAAATATCCAGCCTTCACCATATTCACGATAGACTCCTTTGCTAGTGCACATAACATGTTCAGATCTGCTTGTTTGAGTTTAGTCCGCAGAAACCATGAATTGGTCTTTACCTTTACCTGTTTTCTTATTTGGTACCCAAATAAGCAGGCAGGTTCTCCATTGTGGTTCACAAAGCCCAAAAGAAGATTCCTAAAATGTGTTAAAGCAGTCTCTCCTTCAGCACATTTCAAATGTTGCAATTATTATTATTTTTAGCCTGTTGAAAACTCTTTTGCAGCTCATTGTTGATTGATGTGGTTGGAAATTAGTGACTGTTTTCTTTTAAAAGACATCCGAACATGTGACAAGGACATTGAAATGGAAGCACAGCTTGAATGAAAATTAAAAAAATAAACAGATTCTGTGCACTGCTTTTGTTGCTTCTGGTTTATTTAGTCTTTTATAAAGTTTCAGCGGTTGAAGGTTGATCAGAACAAAGCAAAAGTTGTTTAAAACAACTTTGGTTTCTCACAGTGGACGCTTACTAACCTATCAAGTAAACACATCATAACAAGCTTATGAAATCCTGGGTTACACTCTTTTTCATATATATATTTAGTGCAAGGGTTATTAAAATTCTAATTGGGCACACTGTCTTGATGTCTTGGAAATATCAGAAGCTAATCCAGACTGACGGACTCAGTTCCTGCCTCGTGTTGGTGAAGGTATGTAGTCTCGAACTGCTCTTTTATACGTTGCTAAAATCTGAAAGCTGCAATGAAGATGAATGTTTGTTTGAGTAATGATATTATTGTCAAAACAAACAGACTGTATCGGTGGTCCAATCATCTTACACAATGCTGTCTAACAAATGTCCTTTATCTGCCCTCTAATTAGGATGAATTCCTCTCATCAGATAAGAGAAAAACAGCATGGGCAGTGAACTGTGGTCACTCTGACTCCTTAGCTGAAGTTCACATGTAACAGATTTTAATTAGAGTAATGCATCATGGATTTCATCTCATGCTTCAGACACAAATACTGAATTCTTTCAAAGAAATAGAAATATTAGATCAATAAAATGGAAGAGACATATTATGCAAATGACATGATCTTTGCCATGACTTGTAATATATTGTATATTGTGTTTGAGGAACAGTCGTGAATAAAATTTCCACCAATATGTGGTTGCTTACAGTCAGAGTAAAGAGCCGTGTTGCATTGATTCGATTTTTTTAACATTGCTTAAAAGGTTTAAAATTCAACTGAAGAAAAGTCCGAATGTTCTGCTTTAAGGACTTTTTGAACTAATTAGTGTGTAGATTACACGCTTTAGTCGAAGAAACTAGTCGTGAATACAAGTGCCGTGCGCTAAAGTCTTTTCAGCTGATTTCACTCACCAAACTGGATCTATTGATCATGTTTGGATGACTAAATAGCGTATATATATTTGTCTGGGTGGTAATGAAGAATAAACACCACAGCAGTATGAAACATCGACTGGGCCAAAATGACGTCTGCAGCTACATTTACAAACTATTAAATGCCCTGCAGCTGTGCTGCCTGAGCCCCGATGAGGTTTTCCGATAAGTGCTGCCGGTTTCAATTAACAATCCAACATGCAGGACCAGACATGCATTCATGTCTGTGAGTTAAATAAAAGCAAAGTCACAAAGATGGCACTGTTGCTTTATGCAAACTGGACTAGGCATTAAGGAGCTATGATTTAATGTGGGCTCAAGACCTTTGA